TTTGTCCTGTCCGTTAATTGGATTTTAAATTGCTTTCTTTGATGAAACAATAAATTTGAAGGAAAAAATTTAAAGCATCGTTTTAAGTCGATGGCAGGTGCTTTGACCAAAGACGGACGTCCGTTACGCACCCCAAGTCCTTGGTGTGCCTCGCTCTAACAACCACGATTCAGAGACTACCACCGGAAGTCTCGATCGAATAGAAGGTCGACCGCAATGTACCGACGGCAAAACACGATCGTTTTAGTGATCTTACCATAATTTAACGGCTTCCTTGATATATAGTCAACTCCAAACGGTCCGTAATGTAAGAGTGATCTCTTAAACAGTCATCAGAAGGCTTTCTTAGAATATCGTAGTACGTAGACGTCCCTAGTCCCCCTCTACTTCCAGAGAGGCATCGGGTAAAAATGCGACTATTCGCGAACCAGCAACTCGCTTGGATACTTGAACAAAGGGGTGCAGTTCCCTTCACAGGTTTGGTTTGTGTCGATGAGATGACCGGGACCGTGTATGGAGAAGACGTGGAGAACGATTCATGTGCCATGCGTGAGTCAACGCTTGTTCAAAGATAGTGATGGTATGGAGTGGAATCCACGTCCATGCCGGTACCGAACTGATATCATACAGAATGAATCTTTGTTTGCATATTGACAGCTGTGCTCCCATACGCTCCATTTATTGGGGACAACTTCGTGTTAATGCATGATAATGCTCGACCGCGTGTAGCTAGTAGTCAGTCACCCATTAATTGGAGGATATAGGGATGACCAGAATGAATTAGCCAGCACGATCTCCCGACATGAAACCCATAGAACACTTATGGGACGTGAGAAAATATAGTCCAAATCCGCTCGTTTTTTTCTCGATGCGTTCGATTCTTAATGCCCTTACCCATAGGACGCGTTATTACTCATTAATACATTAATACGCGTTATTAAGAGCAAAATCAGGTAATAAATTGTTGGTTTAATTTTAATCTATCACTACATGTTTTTCCGGTGTTTGGTTAAATTTTCTTTCAAACCATCATAATTAAATTATTTTTATTAAAACTCATGAATTTCTGATCTCGTTTAAATTGGTTTACATTAAGATAACTGTTGTAGTTAATATAACGCTAAAAATACATATAGTTTGAAATAAACAACAAAATACGAGAGTACGGTTTTGTTGTGTCTTGAGTGTCGTTATATTGACTGTTGTATCTGTACTAAAATGTATTTATAATTTGTAATTAATTTTTTTGTATTGAAATGTACATTTTTGTCCCGAAATTATCTAATCGGTAAAACAAATCATAGTGACGAAACCGCAGGCGTTGACAGAGAAATTTATGTCGCTCATTAGCAACAGTGTTATTGTAGGAGGATAGTTATCAAAATTGAGAAGGAGCGACTGACCGTAAATTTATCAGGGCGTAAATGGAAACTGCGTCAGCTGGGAACAGCCTATTTATAAACAGCGCGTATTAAAGGGGCTTCTATGCATAATTTCTTGTCGGATATATTAAACAATATTAAACCTTGAAAAGGGTAATGGGGAAAAACGCAATGGTTACTTGTATTCCAAGTTTGAAAACTTAAACTTCTATTATTTTCATTTCCAACGTCAATAGATAGAGATAGAGATACTTTTATTTCCAGAAATTAGTACTACGAAAGGAAGAAAAACAAAAGGATTGCACATGGTTTAATATCGTCTGTCCCCCCACGGCTCGGCGCGCCCCTACGATATGTGGAGACGGTACGGTTCCTTGGCCTCATATTTGATAAGAAGTTGATATGGCAGCCACACATCGAGGCCGTCGAGGTCAGGAGCAGAAAAATCCTCACACTCCTGAAATTTATTGGTCACTTCAGGTGGGGAGCGGACAGTGAAACCCTGTTAAAAATGTTTAACTCGCTGCTGTGTTCAAGAATCTTTTACGGATGTATGGCCTATTCCTCGGCCCGAAAAACGCGTCTGAGAAAGCTCGATAGGCTCTACTACCAGGGTCTCAGAGCGATCTCGGGAGCGTTCAGGACCAGCCCCTTGGCCAGTGTGTGCTGTGAGCTGGGGGTATTGCCTCCCGAACTACGGAGAGAGCAGCTCACCCTCAGTTACGCGGTCGGGTATCTGGCCAAGCCGTGGCATCCTCTAGCAAGGGCGATTCTTGAGTGCCCTTACAGAGCCGTCTATGACATGCTTCGCTAGCGGACGCGACCCCTCGGGATTCGCTTCGGCGAGGCCTTAGCGAGGGCTGGACTGGCTCTGGGGACTGTGCTTCGGCTGGGCGACCGACCGACACCTCCCTGGACCCTTCCTGCCGTACTCGTCCGCGATGACCTGGCGAGCTTGCCCAAGTCGTGTACACCGCCACACCTCTATAAGACTAAGTTCTTTGAACTTTGGAACAAGTACGCCGGTTTTGGTCTAGTCTTTACAGACGTGTCCAAGACTGGCGATGGTGTGGCCTGTGCCATGTATAGGAAAGGAGTGCCCACCTTCTGGTCGCTGACCCCCCCCCCATTGCAGCGTATACACGACAGAACTGTATGCGATCTGACACGCTCTCGAGGCGGTGCGGACCGAGGAAGGATTTGCCCCCAAATAATCAGTCCTTAATAACGTTAATATGTGCAATTTTTTCTATTTCAATTATTTTAATTTAAGGGGTATTTCGCACATAATAACAATATAAACAGCATACATTCGTATTTTAATAACATTATTAGTAACTCATACTCACCCACCAAACAATCATGTAAAACGTCAAAAAATAGAAAATAATAAAGGCCTCAACAGGCATCCATGGCAGGCATGGAACCATGTTTCGTAAATGGAGAACGAAAAATGAAAACAAAACCAATATGTGACGTTTACTTTCAAACGCAACTCCAGTTGGTATGGTATGGTATGGTGGAAGGGATGCCGGGAAGCGGGGCTTGTGTTCCCCAGGCACTGCAGCCTTCTGGCTTATTGTACCTTCCCAGTTCCCTAGTTTAGTCAATAGACTCAATCCTTCTTCTCAGAAGTATCAGGTCATTGACTGTTATTGCTGCAATTTGGTTCCCTGAGTCTTTTTCGTACGTTAGGTTAAACCTCCATTGAGCTGTTGCTTCGCATTCGAAGATGATATGAGTGGCTGTTTCCTCCTCCTCATTACATAATCTGCAAATGGGGTCATCGCTGTATATACCCATATTGTGTAGATGTTTTCTCAGATACCAGTGACCGGTTAGTCTGAATCAAATTCCACTATGTGTGTGGCTGTACATAGAAAAAACATTGACATGGAATCATCTCGACTCAAAATGACAACTAAAACTGCTACTTGTTCATAACAAAACAAAAACTTTACACAGTTCTTGTAGCTCCTTAATGGACTTCAACACACTAGTTGTATAAATTATTAGTGAGGGGTTAAAATCACCTAAAACTACATTGGCGATCCCCGAATTTGGACATAAGTGAAAAGTGACTTTTAAACTTAAAAAACTTCATTGTGTGATTAAACTTTAGTTGGTTATGTGAATATAGTTTAGAGTTATATACTTTTAATTATTAATAGTTAAGTGTTCTTTTTCTTCTACTTTTGGTGAGTTTCTTTCTTTGTATGTTCAGAATTTTATTTGATCACTAAGTAACAACAAACTGGCGCGAAACATTATCGATAATCCAGATCAAACAGCTGCATCCATTACTCAAACCTTTTTGTAGGCTGGTTTGCGAAATTTGGAAGCCCACTCCAAATTGTCACGGAGTTTCATTCAGAATTATAATTCTCAATGACTAAACTCATTCATACTGTAGCCTATCACCCACAAAACAATGGTAAAATAGAGCGACTATACCGTACGTTGAAGGCAGCATTCATGGCTCAGAACTCCACCTTACCTAAGGTTTTGTTGGGATTACGGTGTTCATTCAATGATGAAGCACAAGCTTCCAACGAAGACTTAGTACTCGGGATGATTTTTTAACAGGCCATACTAAGCTGAAACTAGATCTCCCAGCTCAATGTTGGGACTGAGTCGGTCTTCAAAGAAATTTGAGGTCGCCTGTAAAAACTTAAATATATCAATCTATAGACATATTTAAGGTTTTTTTATAAGTACTATATAGTTTATTGATTGAGAAATGAATGGTACAAATATGTTTTTCATAGGCCCTGATGATGACCTTAAAATAGATCGAAAGCTTGGCTGTAGCAACTAAATACGTTCTTCTTCAAGACCACACATTGATCCAGAGTATTCGTACAGAAAATCTTCAAAGTGATGACACCGAAACAAATTTTCACAAGATCAGGCAGCCAAGCAGCCGTAAAAGCACTGACACGTAAAAAGGTCACACCTAAAATAATCAGTTAATTCATCCAACAGCTCCTTTTAGGTCACTGGTGAAGAGAAGGTAAAAGACAGGTCCCTAATTCACTGCCTTGTGGCACTCCAACTTTATTTATTTTTATTTATTTTTTTAATTTACTAAACCCGAAAAATAAATCTATTAAAAATATGAAACCATAAATTAAAAAAGCTAATACACCATTCGGACAGACAAATAATAATATTGGATATAAGTTAACAAACTGTGTATTACAAATAATTAAGGTTTTTAGTTGAGATAAAAAAAGTCAATGGCACGAGCGGGATTCGAACCCACGATCTTCGGCTAGATACGCCGCTGCTCTACCACTTGAGCTATCGTGACCACGCTCCACTCGGACACTAACTTCCCATCTCAACCCCACCTTTTGAATTTTCCCTCCTTTTGCCATTTTTCAAATGTCGTGTAATCGGATTGGATTCTTGAGAATCGAGTGCCGTTGACTTTTTTATCTCAACTAAAAACCTTAATTAATTGTAATATATTAATTGGTCAAGCGGACTACGAAATTAGTGAATTTAATGATTTAAAATGAAGTATACTTCACTAAAGCTCTCCGTGGCCATTTCATTTGTCGTCGAGAATCCTAACTACACTAAATTGATCTTTTTTCTTTTCTCTGATTTCAGGTCTTACAAGAAAAAAAAGTCTTCGAATCGTATGACAAATCGCTGAAAGAGGAGATTGCGGCGCGGATGTTTTATAGGAAGCAGAAGATGAAGGAAGCGTGTGCGCGTTACGGTCTTGACAAATCTGGCAACGATTCGTTGCACAAGCCAAACCCTTGGGAGTTCCTAATCAACAAAAAATATCATATTGTTTGGTGTAACATATTTAAAGCTGCGTCAACGTCGTGGATGTACAATTTCAACGTTCTGGCAGGGTGAGAATCAAACAGTTTTAACATGTAAAATACTGTAGTTGTTTTGTTGTCTTTTGTTGTTTTCATCTGGTAACACTATATGGTAATAACACTATATGCAGAACTGCAACAAGTCCCACACACTTGATAAACTGGCAATCAATGTGAGGATGATAGAAACGAGAAAACGAGGTCAATCGTTTAAGGCATCATGGAAGGTTCAGCGCTGGAAAAATGTGTAGACGGTTTGTGTAATAACGGTTAAGACGTGGCACTTACTACAATTCGTCTGAAGGCTTTTCATTTGGAGGATTGGATGAGCTGGATGTTTGATGGCTTAGCAGGCCCCACAGTTCCTCCCCGTATGACTAGGAAAGGTTGGAATAATGTGTTGTATTGAGTTGTGGTGAGTGAATTTTCCTCCTAAAAGTGTTGCGTCGGGATTCGACGTCAGTCTGCTGTCAGTTGTCGAACATAGATGTCTACGTCTAAACTCACATTCCTCATCGAATAAGTAAACCTTTATGAAACCTTCATGCAGAGTTAATTGGTTTTTCACAGTCATAACAGCCTACGAAAAGTTCGTCTGACAAATTTCATGTCAGTCTGAATCATAAGTATCATTGGGTTCCACTTTGTGAAGCATTCTTTGTTCAAGATGTTCTTGGATATACGAGGCTACTTGGATACTAATAGGCATGTTACATTTAGAGATGATTGAAACAAGTATTTCAGGTTGTAAGGTTATATAAACAATAAAATAACCATTTTATTTAATTCCAGTTAATAAAGCGGACGAAGCGACTAAGTCCGGGAAGTCCCAACCTCTGGATATAACCACCGCGATCCGGCCCTCTGATGCTAAGAATCAGGTAGCAGCAACAATGGGCCGATCCTCCGCCGTTTCTCAATCATCTACGGTATGACGAGGAGGGTCAGAACATGTTTGAAGTTCCTAGGAAGAAAAGTTTATAATAACGACGAATACGATGGTGTTTTGAAAAAGGTTTCAATGTCCTCGCGAAGAGAGATTATAAGAAACTAACAACTAACGGTGTTGGCGTGAGAGACGGTGAATACATGACTCAGCACTGGGTCCACTACCCTCGCTGGTTTTGATGTTACTCAGGCTTGCTTCGACCTTGCGCAGTCTTCACTGAGAGACTGTCCTTTCCGTTCTCCGTCCTTATATATCTTTGGGTACGTCCGTTGTCGCTTGGGGTGTTGTGGTTAGGGAACAAGGGCTATGGTCGTTGGATCACCGATTTAATTTTTTTTAAAGTTTCGTGATACTATGGCATGCATTCTTTCCGATGGGTCCTTGCTGCCGAGATAACAATATAAATAAGTTAAATTGGGCAAGAAACGAGGTTTGTCCTGTTTTTTCATAGAAGGCTCAGGTTCAGAAATTCCTGAGTCGACAGCGGGAATCGACCGACCCCACGATCGCGGGCCTGATGTGCTAAGGCTAACTATACGGTTAACTTGGTCAATCAGAAAAAAAAGTTTATATTAGTTTTTCGCCAAATAAAAATATTTGGAAAAATCGAAAAATAGTTTTTTCTCAATTTGATTTTTTCAGTAGTTCCAAATAGGGGAGTCATTCCCATAAAACCCCTGGGGTTAAACTAATGAAAGACATAATGTGTGCCTTAGCGACGTAGCAGAGAAAGACAAAAGCTGTTCTTTTGCGTGAGAAATCAAGTTGATATTCGCATTTCACACCCCGAAAAACCCCTGAGTACGAATTTTCGGGGAAGTCAAAAAAAAATTTTTTTTTCTCAAATCGTTCGCCATCCTAATGCTTCTGATTTTTTTCGTCCTATTTTTGTGTCTATTTTTAGGTATCGAGTACATCATGGATATTTTTAGACATTTTGAAAAACCTTAGCCTTATGGATGTATCAATTAAATAAGTTAACAGTACAATAATTTCTTGACATCTATGTTTTATGACTTTAAATTTAATCCATATACATGCATATGTATATCACAGGTATTTTGTATTTTTTAAAGTATACTACACCAATTACCACTTTCTGCGGTCAGAGTCGCCTTTATAATGAACAGCCAGCCCTTACACACAAGTACAAACAATGAAGCCACAGAAGCGTTTTCTATTAGTTTATAAAAACTCTTAACTAGATAAAACATTTTTTCTATTATTCACAGTTCAAGAAGAATTTCGTTGTCTTTTTATTTGTACACTAACAAAACTTTTTGGGCAGTAACACTGATTAAAAAGCTGTTTGTAAAATAATCGTATGTTAAAAATTTTTGTTTGTTGTTATATAAACCATGTTAACGCGTCTAGGGAGATCTTACCCCAGTAAACAAACAATAATTGTTGTTTGTTTTGCCTTCAGCGTTTGGCACGTCAGGGACTTGTCGGGCCGTCTAGGAAGGAGGATGGATCTCATTGACTTTCGACATTCCGCCGCGACAAGCCCTGTGTTCCCACACTGATTGATCGAATGTCAAGGATGCTCGTGAGGAGGTAAACTCCACCCCGGTTGGCATGGAAGATAGTCAGAGTCGATGGTGTAAAGACGTGTCTAAACAAGGCAAACGTCGATATTGTTCCGAACCTAAGGAAACGTTAGTTGACAATCGAAGATAGATGCCAATAAACTTCCACATCTTTTGTAAGTTGTTCTATAAATCGTCCAAAAATGACAATTACAAGTTGTATCAGCTATTAATTTTATTAATTAATCACTTGGTTGTTAGTCTTCATTGGTCCGAGAAAGAATTGTGCTCATAAAGCTGGGAACACACCCGATGCAACGCTATGCGACGCTACCCGATGCCTTATCTCGTTTTGGTAGGGTGTGCACATTTATGCAACGTCAAGCGTACGCACGTACAGTCACACAGCGTGTATCACAAATCAGTATCGCAATCGCAACGCCTCTTTTGTTCTTAATGCACTATTTTGAGCAAAACCATGTAATAAATAGTTAGTTAAATTTTATGAGGAAAATAAAGCATAAATTTGTTAAATTCATTACATCAAAAAATGGTATTCCGGTGTTTTGATTGATTTTCTACCAAACCATTAAAATTAATGTTTTTTAATAAAAACTAATGAATTTTCGATTTCGATTAATTTGGTTTACATTAAAATAGGTTTGTTGTAATTAATATTGTGGCAATAATACATGTAGTTTGAATAAAAATACGAGTGTCCTGTTCTGACGCTACTCGACGAAAATGAGCAAAACCACGAAATAAATTGTAAGTTAAATTTTATGAACAAAACCGTGTAATAAATTGTTAGTTAAATTCATTATATCAAAAAATGGTATTCCGGTGTTTTGATCAATTTTCTACCAAACCGTTAAAATTATTTTTTGTAAATAAAAACTAATGAATTTTTGAATTGGGTTCATTTGGTTTACATTAAAATAAGTATGTTGTAATTAATATTACGGCAATAATACATGTAGTTTAAATAAAAATATGAATGTTCGTTTCTTTCGTCTTAGACTGTACTCGATGCTACCCGACGAAAATGTAGACAGTGGGGATCGCATAGCGTAGAGTAGGGTAGCTAGCGTAGATGTGCACGGGGGTAATACAATCTTATGTAAAATTGGACTTTGGATTTGCGTCGGGTAGCGTTGCATCGGGTAAGTGTGTTCCCAGCTTTACGGTTGCTCAAAAAATGCATTAAAGAGGCGTTGCGATTGTGATACAGATTTGTGATACAAGCTGTGTGACTGTACTTGGAGTGCGCTTGACGTCGTATAAATGTGCACACACTACCAAAACGAGACAACGTCAGACGTCGGGTAGCGTCGCATAGCGTTGCATCGGGTGTGTTCCCCGCTTTATTCTCCGAAGGGTGAAAATGACACGTTCACATTTTTGTATTAGTTAGCCGTAAAGTACAAAAAAATACGAGCAAAACTAAATTCTTACTATAAAAGTCATGTTAGGTCGGTTGCACAAAAGAAAAACAAAAATGCCTTCTTTTGTTGGATAGCGGAGTCAGATTAGCGTACCCCTCAACTTCGTCAATCACTTCCCTTGGGGGGGGGGGGGCATCAATGATGATGTACAGACCGGGAACAAGTCGGCTTTCCCCTCCGCCCTGGGGATCTTTTGGGAGAGAAACGGATTAATTATCTCCAACCGTCTGACCTACACGGATAAAACACGGAGTTTAAGGCCGTTATTAAAACAAAATTAATATTTCAAAACCAGTTTCCGGTTTCGCCTCGGTTGTCTTATTAATCTCCTTCAAATAATAATAGGAAATAAGAAATCATTTTTTCCGCGAGGCATAACTTTGTTGTTCTTTACTAAAGTGATGATTTTCCCCTTACAAGTTTACACGGTATAAAATAGAGGATTAATAAGGCTTTGTTTGTACAAGTTCTGTCGGTTCTTCAACCTCCAATTTTCAAAATAAGCACAAATTGAATTAATAAAAATATAAACTTTCAAAATTATCTTTGGATTTCGATCCTACAATTCTATAGTGATGGGGGGTGGGTTAATGGAACCGCGTGTAAACCATAGCATGTCAAGGCCTATCATAAAACGACTAACTCCGAGGTAAAATCAATACAGAAATGTGCTCAAAGAGTTATTATCCGAGACCACATACTTCCGTTGTCGGCCTTTAATTTATTGAGACACTCACAAAAGCCCCTTACGTCCGTTCAGCGCGTTTTAATTATCGAAAAATCCATTGAACCCGACTCGCCATCGGCCCGTGGAAATGTACCGTCACTGATCATAGTTTGAAAACACTTCCAGGGCTATCGTTTAAACTCGCCGTATCAAACGGCCCTTCATACCTCCCATTGTCACCGTAGAACAAGGTGCAAAAAATTTCTGAAAACAAAAAGAGAAATTAAATTCCGCCCACGTGTCATCGGGATTATTCGTGGCCGAACATATTGTACAGTGCGTCGTTGACTTGCAGGCTAATCGATCAACCGTCACGACACAAACTGTATGTTGTTCAGCAGAACCGCGTGACCGGTTGCCCTCCGAATTTCGTAACACAA